AAAAAAAAAAAAAATCTTCTGGTATGTATAGAGAGTTAGAGGTATTTGGGATAACATCCTAGGACTGAAATGATACTGATTCCTATTAAAGCACCCCATTCTCAAAATTTAAGATACCTGTGAGGTGAAAACAATTGTGGCCCTGCCAATGACTTACTGTTACTTAACTTCACAGATCCTCAGTTACACAATCTGTAAAATAGGAAATAAAATCTATCACTTGGGATTATTGTGCCCTCTAAATGACGTACCAAATATAATATAATTTCATATTCAGTGGTTTTCAAAATTAAATTGCATAAGAATTATTTTGGGGCTTATTAAAATGTAGATTCCTAGGCAGGAAGAGACAGGAGTGGAAGAGGAATGAAAACAGGAAATACAGGGAAGAAATATGATGAGTGGTGTTACATTGTGGGGACTGTAATCAATGGCATGAAACAAAATGTGCATGAATTGTTGAATGAAAAACTGATTTTCTCTGTAAACCTTCACCCAAATCATAATAAAAAGGATAAAACATAAATAAAATACAGATTTCTGCCTCCTATTCAGTCTTATTGAATCTACATTTCTTACAGTGGGGTCCACAAATATGCTTTTTAAAATAAGCAGTATCACAGACTCTTGGTTGTGAAAAGACCACATTTTGTGTGTGTGTGTGTGTGCGTGTGTGATTTAGGTGAAAGTTTACACAGCAAATTCACTTTCCATACAGCAGTTCACATACACTTTGTCTCATGACATAGACTACAATTTACCACAATGCAACAGCTCCCCTCCCACTTCCTCCCCATAGTTATCACCTCCCTATGTCCTTACCTCCTTGCACTCCTGCCCCCTGAGCTATGAAGGCCTACATTTTGACAAATTTGCCCTACACCAAAAAAAAAAAAAAAAAAAAAACCTCACTGCCGTAGAGTCAGATTCGACTCATCGTGACCCCTCCTTAGGTTTCCGAGGCAATATCACTACGGAAGTAGATTGCTCAACCTTCCTTCCGAGGAGCGGCTGGTGGGTCTGAATCACCAGCCTTCTGGTTAGCAGTCAAATGCCTTGGGCACTACACCACCAGAGCTCCTTAACCAAACTCACTGTTGTCGAGTTGGATCTGGCTCATAGCGACCCCTCCTTGGGTTTCTGAGGTGGTATCATTATGGAAATTAAGAATTCTTTTTTGTCCTTCCAAAGCTGGCTTGGTTAAAATTCTAACTGTAAAATAATAGATCAGTTACAAAAGCACAGGAGATTCATAAGCAGCATGGAAAGTGCCTTATGCAGTTATGATATTGTATTTCTAGAAAGAGATAATGTGGGAAGCAATACAAGGTTAATAAAAAATGCAGTGTCCTGATTCCAGTCATATAATTCCGTTTTCTTCTATAGCTGGTAAGAAAATACCAGACTAGTCGCTGATATTTAGTAGTTAAATATGCACTGAAAATAATTTGTATTACTTAATAAGACTATCATAAAACTTCAATAACACTCATGCAACTATCTTCTCTCTTTTTTATTTATAGCTAATAACCAAAATAATACTTCATCGATCTCATTATAAATAAAATTTAAAGTCTAAATGCAAATTTTCTCCAAATCTTCTTCACAAAGTCATCATGTACTCAGGGAAAGAATTTTTCAAGTGTCACATCCACTTTCTTACTCTTACCTTTAAAATTTCTGGCTTGGTTTTTTCCATCACGTGAGTCAGGCTAAAAAGGTGGAAGAGAGCTTCTCGGACAAAGAACGCCCGCTCACTGTACCGCTTCAATGCTTCTGCAATCTGAGTTTCGTTGGCTTCTCCAGACACCTTTGAACATAATCAAAAGATTAGCTTTTAGGATTCTTTTCAGCCCTCTAACTTGCTCTATCCAAGCACTGTTTGTAAATATGGCATCCAGGATAGCTATGTAAGGCTTGAAATAAATGAGAAGATTACTTTGCAACTCATCAGGAATAGTCATCCTAAGGATGATGGAAAACAAGAGATATACATTATATAGGCTCAGACTCCAATGTAAGCCTATGGGTAAAATCTTCTATATTGCACCTAAAATAAATCTTAAGATATTTAACATTATTTACAAGGCCTTAATACATGATTCAGCTCTTATCTGCTTTTTAAGGCAGACCTCTCACTCTAGCTACACTGGCCTTTTCTCCTGTTTTTTTGACAAGACATGCTCTTTCCCAATAAAAGGCCATAGCATATAATGTTTTCTCTGCCTTCCTCACTCTTTTTGCCTGACCAATTTCTACTCATCCTTCCCAATTTAAATTAAATGACATTTTTTTAGCGCGGCCTTCCCTAACCCACTAATCTAAATCAGGTCACCCTGAAACAACTCTTTTGTAACAATTACCATAATCTCCCACTAGATTAACTCGTTTACCACTGTATTCCAACATTTTGCATTGTGCTTGGCTCAGAATAACCACTCAATACTCATCAAACATATATGTTAATTCATTTCCCCAGATTTAACAAACTTCCATTCAACATTAAGAAAAGTTGTTCAGAATGAAGTCTTCCTAGGAATTTCTCGCTAATGCATATTATTATACTTATCTTGAACTATGGTTCATGTACCACTGGGCATATAAGGAGAAGTGTCTCTTTATTAAAGCATTCCAATAAAAATTTTTAGACTATCACCATTCTTCCAAAAAAAACAAACTCATTGCCATTGAGTCAATTTGACTCATAGCAACCCCTCCTTGGGTTTCCAAGGCAGTATTATTACTGAAGTAGATTGCCCCATCTTCCTTCTGAGGAATGCCTGGTGGGTTTGAACCACCAGCCTTCTGGTTAACAGTCAAACGCCTTTGACACTACACCACCAGATCTCCCATTCTATACTCCCCAATTAATGAATGGATCTAAATATCAACAACTGCTCACATAATAGAAAGCAAAATGAGACATTACAAACCCCCAGTGAAAGATCACAACACCTAAGGATCCTGCCAAATGGATCAAATATGAGACTGATTACCTAAGACTAATTACCAAATCTAGAAAACACAAAGAAGCTCTAGTGGCATAGTGCCTAAGACATTTGACTGCTAACCAGAAGGTTGGTGGTTCAAAACCACCAGCTACTCCACTGAAGAAGACTGGACAATCAACTTCCATAAAGATTTACCACCTCAGAAACCCAAAGAGGGCTGCTATGAGTCAAATTGACTTAAAGGCAGTGAGTTTGGTTTTTTTTTGGTTTTAGAAAGTGGACAGATAAGAGTATAAATGCATGCATCATGCATCATGAGTATAAAAATTCAGAAAAAACAGACTGAGGGAAACTCTACAAAACTGAATTCTTATTAGACAATTATAAAGAAAAGAAAGGGATGTAGAGAGAACTTGTAAATTAAAAGATATTCAAAAGATGTATCAAAATTTCAAAAACAGGTAAAATTAGCTAAGTATCTAGAACTATAAAGAAATTCAAAGATACGATTACTATAAAAGTCAAGATAGAGGTTACCTTTGTGAGGAGGGTGGATGTTATGATTGGGATAGGGCACATGGAAGAACTTCTGGCTGGCAAAGTTTTGTTTATTAACTTGTTTATTAACTCATCCTCCTCCTCTGTACTTGACAATGTTTCCAGACTATTCACAAAGTTGCACAGTAATGTATCAGACAGTGTTTCTCTGCTATTCATAAGGTTTTCCCTGGCCAATTATTTGAGAAGTGGATGGCCTCTTCCTTCTTCCTAGTCTGTCTCAGGCTGCAAGCCGGGCTGATACCTGTGTACCATGTGCACCCCGCTGGGTTTGAAACACCAGTGGCACAGCCTAAGTAATGGTTACAAGCAGATTTGCCTCATTTGCACTGTTTAAGCTATACTGTTGTTAGCTGTGGTCTCTGTATGTGTTTTATTTTACAATAAGAAGGTTGAATACACAAACACACACACAGGGGTTCACATTAGGTTGGAAGATTAAGTCTTTTTGGCAACAGCATGATAGAGGGTGATACAAAAATATTCAAATACTTTATATTATTCAGTAACTAGGTTTTAAATAAACATATAGCATTCAACTGTAATTTGTAGCAGGTTTGAGGAAATGAAGAGATGCATCATGGTTACCATTTCAACCACTGATATGACATGATACTGTTGTTAGCTGCCATTAAGTCAACCCTTAACTGACAGCAACCTACTGCACAATGTGATTGAGCTATTTTGATCCATAGGGTTTTCACTGGCTGGTCTTTTGGAAATAGGCTTCCAGGCCTTTCTTCCTGGTCCATCTTATTCTGGAAGCTCCACTGAAACTTGCTTAGCCTCATAACAACATGCAACATAACAACATAACAATATGTTCTGGTTACCTAGTGCCACTCTGACAGGAATATACCACAAATGGGATGGCTTTAACAAACAGGAGTTTATTCTCTCTTATAGTTTGGAGGCTTTAAGTCTGAGTTCCAAGTGCCAGGCTCTAGGTATTGGGAGAAAGCCCCTTGACCTTGAGCTTCAGCTCTGCCTCCTGCTCCCAGCCCACTGGAGCTAGAAGCTTTTCTACAATCAGACAGCTGCTGGCTGCTGAGACTGACAAACCCAAGGTTGACAAGTAAAAAGGCACTGTTCTGATGTTGCCAAACCACACAGCAGGCCATTAATTCAAGTCCACTGAAAGTCCCAAGGACAGCATAGCATGACAGGCTGCTGAACAACAACACAGCTACATCCAGGGTTAAAGGTGCCATAAGCTAAAGACCATTCCCCAAGGCTTCTCCTTATATACAGGAAGCAGCCCACATCCTTAAAGCAGAGCTTCTCAGCTGCTCACAGTAGATTCCACCATGGAGTTGATTACCAGTCTCATGATGGGGAATACTACATCCAGCTGCCCAGCCACTCAACCAGACCCAGCCAAGTCGACACACAAAGTTAACTACCACACAAGCCTCCATCTACAGACGGATGATGGCTGCACTTGAGGTATACTAGGTGGCAATCAAACTCAGGTCTCCCACACTGAAGGTTAGAGTTCTACTACTGAACCACCACTGCCTCCTGACGTAGGATGCAAAGGTCTAATATAAATTAATATGCCAGTGATGCAGAGCATATATTGAGCATTTCTAAGATTGTAAAAATAACAATGAAACTTTCTTTACAAAATGATTTTTAAATTTTTAATTGAAGCAGAATGTACTTGCATGCAAATTGTTTTTGATTACATGTTCATGTGTGCAAGTCCAGTTATTTTTGAATTACAGGTTTCCCTTGCTATCTGAAAATGGAGGATTTCTACGAAGTCTTTCATAAGTGGAAATCGCCTAAAGTGAAGGAGCAATTCCCATTAATTTATATATTTTTTGAGCATTCTCAGACTCAAAAAATAATCTGCCAAATCATACCAGGTAACACATAAAACCTAAATTAACACTAATATATAGTGTTCACAGACACAGTTCAAAGCTATGGTGCCTTGATGCTGAGATGCTGAGCGTAGTTCCCACGGAAAGAGGTTGGCAATGCCACTCTCACTGCTTGGGTGCACACTGCCTCGTTGCAAAGCCAATACTGAATGCTACTTTCCCTTTTTTTGTAAAAGTGAAAATCTTCTTCAGATTGCTTTTGGTTAGTGAAAGGAGGTACTAACATAGGTCTTCTGTAAATGTGAAGTGGCATAAAGTAAACTTTTGAAAGGTAGAGGGATACTTGTACCTTCAAGTTTTTCTTATAGATTCAAAAAGATATTTTAAGGGTTAAGGTTTTTAACATAAAATTTAAGAAGACCTTGAGATTTGATCTAATCCAGATTTCCTATCTGCATGTTATTCTGAAATGTCCTTTCTAAATTTTTGCTCTTGGAATTAATTGGCTAATAATCTACAACCTCTCTCATGGCCTCAAAGTGCTTCTATTCTACCCTGTATCAATTCCATCATAAATGGTTAGGTCAATGGTTAGGAACATAATGATTTTTGAAAACTAGGCAAATAGTTCAGCAAAGTGGTAAATTAAGAGAGAGTTGTTAAGAATTAGATTTTTGAAAAAAAAAAAAATCTTGGAGAAGATGGGATTTAGAGCATTTGAATGAAAGATGAATAGAAAAGAATGGGTACCTCAATGGGGTAGAGAACAGTTGGAGATACAAGACCGAGCACTAAAAACAGCCCTTGACAAATCTACCTGGAATGAAACCAGAGAGGGTGTGCAAATGAAGAATCAGGAGGGAGAAAAAGGGTGTGGCAAAAAGGTCACCTGAGATACCTGAACAAGATTTTGAAGAAACTTTTACTTCCAAAACTTGATTTAACAAAAAATCAACAAGCAGCCTATGAAAAGAAGAAACAAGAGTAAATATCCACTGAGATAATTCCTGATAGCTCCAGAAGCTTCCTAGCTACTGCAACCTTATAACTGCTTTTTTAATTGATTTTTTTCCTATAGACAGGAAACTCTATACAATTAGAGCCCTGTCTGTCATTTTACCACCCTAGCCTTGAGGACAGTAAACTACATATAGTAGACATTCAAAAATAGGTTTTAAATAAATAAAAGTCATGGTAACAAACTAAGTGAAAGACAAGTTAGGCCAGAGCACAAAACAGCAAGATCGTAAATGCAAATAGTGCAGAATATGGTAATACTCTGGATCATGCAGCTACACCTGCTCATGTAGCTTCATGGGTTTAGATATTTCTACCTTATTTTATTAAGGTATTTTATTCAAGTAATTTAATTCAGTGGTGCACCTCTCCTGCACCACTGTACTAGTCTCCCTCTTAAGTGGCTTCTCAGGTTCCAATTCACACTTCTTCAATTAATTGTGGACATAGTTTCC